GCTGGTCACCGCTGGTCACCGCCTGACGAGTGATCAGTGCTGATCACTGCGAGCCAGCGCTGATATACGTTGTCCGACGGTTACCACTGCCCGCCAGCTGATAACCGCCGATCAGCGCAGATGAGCGTTCGTTCGCACTGATCGCCCGTATGGGACTTTTGCGACATAGCCGAACCCCTTGAGCAACTGTGAACCACATGGAAGCAGGAACATAAGACATAGTGCAACGATGACAATTGACGTCAAAGTTGGGTTGTCGTATGAATACACGGAAGGAGATGGAAGTATGGACGCGTGCGTGTGCGATCATGGAAGTTTGAGGACAAGTCGCGACGCGCGTTTGCAGCCATCATGCATCACCTCTTGTCATGAACGTCCATGTAGTCGTCACCTATTCGAATCATACCGCAGGAGAAGACTGAATGGTATGCAATGTACCGTAGGATGGTGCCACTCGCCATGGACGATTTCTTTGTCCATACGATTTAGACTTTCGTCTATAGGGCCGCCAAAGTTGCGCGCGGAACCATAAATGTGACACTTTTGGACAGATATTCAAGACTAGTAGACCATGTGTCGCGCCGGGAGGAGGACTGGGGTCGGCCGTACTGCTGTGGTCGCTATTATATAAGTGAACGCGCAGAAAATGCGGTAGTCACAATCGCCATGGCCGACCAACAACCCCCGGAAGCTCCTCCGTCTGAATCCCGCCTCACGAGACTACCCTACGAACTCCGGCGCATGATCTTCGTTCCACTCTACGACGAATACCTCGAGGAAGAGAAGCTCAGAGGCGGACAATACTTACCTCATTCACTCGCCTACATTTCAGCGCCCTGGAACGTTTTCGAGGCTCTCTTCGACGCGCGGGATTTCGTACGCACTTCCCGTGGCGCGCCCGTTACGATGCTTCACCCCGATCGGACCCGCCGCGAGTTGGCGGGACTTCCGAAGAACGCGAAATTGGATCTTTACTGCTCCGATACCGACGACTGGAGGCCATTCGACCGCGAGGATACATTTGACAAGTTCTCCATCCCAGCCGCTGCAAAGCGTGCGCTCCGCAGATTGGCGAATGCGAAGACGCTCACGGTGTCCGCTACAATGTCCAAACTGTCCAACTTTCCCTTGCTTACCGAAGGAAGACTCTCCAACATCGACAGACTCAGGCTTTTGGTCAGAATTCTCTACAAGCTGTCGACCGGGAAGGCACCAGGCCTGCAACAGTTGCATATCGGGGTGGATTCGAACATGGCGCCAGAGGACGTCCAGACGTCAGAGGACGAGAAGACGCTAGAGGAAGACAAGACGTCAGAGGGAAAGAAGTACGCTCATCAAGTTAGAATTCAAAGGGCTCTGCACGCGCATGAGCGTCGTCTCTGGGAGCATGGTGCGGATCTCTTCCCTGAGATAGAGGACCTGGAGCTAGCCGGACTACACTGCACGGTTCGGCCGCGTCTCCCGCCGTCGCTCACCAAGCTCGACCTGACGTGCATCTTCACCATCAGTATGGACGATCTTCTCGACATGCTCCAATCCCTCCCTAGTCTGCGCGACTTGGCTCTCTCGGATTGTGCGCAGCGTCTTCGCTCGATGACGCCTGATCGGCATACACCCCGATCCGTACACCTACCGCACCTTCAAAAGATAGCGTTACGAGAAGGACTTCTGGAGCTTGTAACCATCCTCTCCCGCCTCGAGTTTGGGCCCACTACGTCGATGAATCTCTCGAACGACGTCGAAGACTCCAATGATCAAGATGTGACTCCGGATGCCATCAGCACCTTAGCGCGCGAAGTTCAATCTCGTTTGGAAACCGGGGGGGAAGAGAACGCGTCCGTCTTCCAGGCACTAGATGTCAAGCTCTTTCAAGGGCAGCCTGAGGTCAACACCTTCGATCTGCACGGTAAAGCGGGTAATCAGACGGTCGATATCCGGCTCGCCTGGCCTGTGATCCAGGTTACGACGGCCTGCCAAGCACTTTCTTGAATGAGGTTCGTGGGTTTTCTTTCGGTGCGGCTTGTTAACCATCGATCTGACTCAACTTGACTAAAAGTCCGCGTTTGTCGGCGAGCGGACGCACAATGCCGATTCAAAGGACGCTGGTTGGGAGTCGGATTCAGACTGGGATAATAACGCGCCCTCAGACGACGGGTTAATTGTAGAATCCACTGGGCATCTAACGCACGCCTGCAGCCTACGTTGAATTCCCTATATCATCCAACAGCATCGTGTATAAGCATTGTATTATATGAATGACCGCATATAGGCTACGATATATGTATACATCCTTGATGAATCTCGTCGTCTATATTCATAGGACTTTCTGACGTAGGGCGTCAAGCTTATATCTTGCAGATCGGAGAGCATGATAGGGCGAGGGGCGCACCTGTGTAGTAAAGTGAAGAAGCAGGAAGGGCCAGTTGTGGTCGGAGTTGGAGCTTGAAGCTTGAAGCCTGACGCATGGCATCAAGAACACACGTGGTTTCAACGCCGCGATGACTTCTTCATGTGTCTTCACGCGTGGCGTCGTTATCAATCGGAGGTTGAAGCTTCAAGTATCACTTCGTTACCTGCTGTCACCAATGTCCTCAACTCTATCTGGTGTTATGCTGGCCTATGCGGCTTGAATTCGGGATGATGATTACTCGGCAACTCCTGGCCGAATGGCAAAATATGCAATATAGAGCAAGACAGTACAGGCAGCGAGGAACAAGAGATAGCGTATCTACCAGTCATTGGCCTGGTACCAGAGGCGCATAAGCGAGGCGATCTCGACCGAATCATCCTCCATATCTGCCTCTAACCGATCAACCTCAATGATAGACAGACGTTCCCCGGCCCACGCTCCCATCTTCCCGCGTAACTTCTCGTAGAGCACTTCCCAGTCCCCGCCATTCCATGGTGTAGCCGAGCTCATGTCGTCGGAACAGGCGGTCATGAAGACTGCGACATGTCCGAGGTCCGCAAAGCCACGGCTGTCGTCTTCCGGGTCCCTCTGTATTCTCGCGATCTGTTCGCCGCGTACGAAGGCTCGCTTGGTCCAGTTGCAGATTGCGAGGTTTGATATGTGTTTCGAGCCTTGATAACAAGGTTGAGTTGAGCTCTCGCGCACAGCTGCATCAATCCGGGCGCAATCGAGAGCTGTTCTGAAATCCTCTTCCGGAGTGCTGTCCCTGAGAGCGCGCCTCGTACGGCGAAAGCGACGGTACGTCCAAAACGAAGATCCCATGGTTATCGAAGACCGAGACTGCGGTTCTCGGTATGTCTCCAGTAGCCACTGCGATAGAGTACAGGCTTCTGACTCGCTTATCGCCTTGAATTCCTCTTTCTCAGTTTCACTGATGAGCATCCGTTCCGGAATAGCCTCCAGGTACTCTCCCACGAAGATTATGCGGTCGCCGCTCCAGCTTCGCGCTCTGACGAGGTATGGGTAACCGTGCTGAAGGAGAATGCGATGCGATACAGCAAAGCACGCGATGTCTTCCAAGTCGTCGAGTTGCCTGAATACGAATCCCACGAGCTCAGGCGGCAACACTCCTAGTGTTCCCAGATCATCAACTCGGGATGCATCGGGGGCGATGACCCTGTAGCAATATAGAATGAATCGGTGACTTGGCAGTCGTAGAGCCTAAGATCACGCACCATTTCAACGGGAGCTCAGGCGTCGGATCTCTGGGCGCCGCCAACAGCTTCATGAGACCAGTCTGCGGGTGCTCCATGTCACTGCTGAACTTGTATCCCAGAGTCGGTCCCTGCTCGCACTTGTCGAGGTTGATTCTGCGCCCTATCAGTGTACATTCGTACCCACGGCGAAGAAGCAGCAAACCCACATTTTCCAGTCCTGCCCCATGTCAAGCTTCTGAGTCGGGAAATGGTGATGTAGAGCGTTGATATATAACTTGAATAAGGCCGACGTCTACAGAACCAAGTCGCGGGGAGAGTTTGAAATCGGGCACGCCCCATCTGATAAGGGCCTAGCTGCACCAGCACGTGCACGCTTCCACGTTTCACTGATCAAAAGACATCAGTGGGTAAGGAGGTGAGTCGGGTACATAAAGCATCATACACGTGGAATGTGAGCCTCACGGGAGTCAAAATCGCCAGCGGCATCACACAAACCTTGATGTGGATCTAGTCTCAGACATTTGACACGGTAGAGCAAGTAGACTCGCGTACCGAGATGTTTGGGGAGGCTGCCCGCGCTGGTCGTGGTCATGGTCCAACGGCTCGTCGGCGACCGCGACACGAGCGCGACTGATAATGACGTCACGCGTCAAGGCGCTCTCATCCGGTGCCGCGCGTCAGCGACTCTGTTGACTGGAACTCGACCACCACTTTGCACATTCCTCGGTGGGTACGGACTGTAGCTCCACGACATCTTCTGACGTAGCCTCTTATAGAGCTGGTCCCGAATGAAGATTGACGAGGAGATTCAGGCGACGGAGGACCTCGTGCTCGGCCTACGCAGGCAGCATAACGCGCTCATTTCCGCCGCTAATGCGCCTGCCGACATTCTCTACGAGATATTCTCCTTTTACCCTGCGAAAGCCAAACGCAATGCGAAGGTCTCACAGCCACCAACGTGGCGCTCCATCCCAATGGTTTGCAGCCGCTGGCGACAAACGTACATATCGAACCCCGCTCTTTGGAACGCGCCCGGCACAATACACCTCCCTGAGATGATCAATACCACGAGACTTTTTCTTGAGCGAGCCTACGGGGTGCCGACGGACCTTTCGCTTCACTTCCGCGACCCAGAAACTCTGGGTGCCAAACTGCCGAAGGCGCTAGCCGCGGGTGTCCCGTGGTTGAGAAGCTTGGAGATAACCGGCATATGTTCCAAACTCGCCGGTCTTCTTCGCGTCTACGCATTGGCGCCACGACTGGAAGAACTCAGACTGAGGCTGAGTGGTGACGAAGATGGACACGACATCAGTCAATCTACGCTCTTCGCCGGCGGTGTCCCCTCGCTGAAAACACTCACTCTTACGGGTTGCGTGTTTTCTTGGGACTCACCTCTGCTTCGCGCGCCAACCCTCACAGACCTGGAAATTGATGGCCACCCCTCATTGCCACGCCCGACACTCGAAGTTCTACTGGAGCTTTTACAGTGTTCATCCGCGCTCAAGTCCGTTAGCTTGAAGAATTGCCTTCCTGAAGTCGGAGTCCGTTTATCTAACAGCATCGGGGATAAACGGCTCGAGCTCCCTCATCTCATACATCTCGAACTCACATCCAACTCGCCCTTCGCTCTTCATGCCGTTGCCACTCACATCCGCGTCCCGACGTCAGCACGGTTCTTCATCCGATGCAAGGACTACGCCTTTGCAGATCACTTCAACGTCGACGAACAACATTCACAGGCGTTAGTTGACGCTATGCTCAGCCATGTCCTCTCACGAGGACCTGGCAGCCAGCCTCGAGAAGGCATATGCCTAGATCAGCATCTTCTCGCGCTTTCTTCATATCAGACATATGAGCCGAGCGACTCGTCGTTGGAGTTCGGGACCATGTGCTACGGCAACACAGACGATCTGGACGCTCCTTTCGACTTTGTGCGTGACATGCAGTCCTGGACGCCATCCATCGGGCTGCATCTATCGTGGGACGAATTTCGGTTGAGGACATTATACCCGATGGAACGCATGACCGAGCACGCATTCAACAGCCTTCTGAGCGCCATTCCCCTCTTCGAGCTCAAAGGCGCCCATCTCTCCGGGGACGCGTTCTACCATGAAGAGAAGGTCGTCAGTTCATTCCGCGACGCGAACAACATCGAGGCTTTGACCATCTCAAGGCAAGCGCTACGGGGCGTTCTCGAAGCCATCAGTGGTGTCTTCACCGATGATCTTTCGTTCAGCTCGAACCCGCTCTTTCCATCGCTGAAACACCTGTGCGTGTGCGATATGCCGCTACAAACGATCATCGCGAGGGGAGAAACGGCGTATACACATCTGCGCGCGGCATTGCGACGTCGACGCGAAGCAGGAGGGGATCAAACATCGATGAATGGCCTGCAGCAACTCGATAGACTCGGCATATACCACACCTACCTACCTGCCGCTCAGATGGAGGAGCTGGGGCAATTGGTGACATATGGATCGGTCGATGCGATGTGAGATATCATGGAGGTGTATCTATGGCGCTCGATTGAATGTACCAACATGTATTGTTCTGCTTCATGTACTCATAAACTCAATATATTGTTCTTCACGCCCTGTGGCTTCGGCATCCGGCGTGGCGCGCGCGAGGAACGGATCACGGATCACGGACTTGATTTGCGTCGCCACGGAACGTCGCCGCCGCCGGCTCCCCGCATACACACTTTCACTCACACGACCACCGTCTACGGCTTCCTCGGCCTTCAACTGGCCTGCCGAAAGCTTCATCATACTCAACATACGCTTACTTCGCTGAGTTCTGGGAGAGATGGCCACAGCAGCCTCAAGACACCGCGCAATAGCACTCTATAAGGAGCTGCATCGCCTCGGACGCGACTACCCTGATCCTTCGTGAGTCCATTTACGTGCCCGCACTGGCGCTTGCAGTCGAAGAGCAGACGTACTGCTGCTTCAGAAAGCTTTTTCAACGTTTCTTGATGAAACACCCGGATCATACAGTACTGATGTACACTCGTAGTTACGACTTTCACGGGCGCATGCGGAGATTATTCGAGAGTACGTGCCTGCATAGTTCATATGTGTCAACGACTGACCGAGGCATTGTAGGGAACCGCGCGCTCACAGATCCGGAGCAGATAGAGAGGGCACTGTGCTTAGGGGAGTTTATCCGTGACGGTACGTCCAGTCCAAGAGCCTCCTGCCGCGTCTCTCATCCTACTCGCAGAAACCCTGGCGCTGTACTCTCTGAAGAAGTATCGACATTTGAAACGCGCGTACGCGCCAGACGAATCTCCGGAGGTACCCGTACATGATCCCATACCAGCAACATGACCGCCTCTACCTCACCTCCATCCCATCCTTCGGCGGCTCCAAGGACTGCCTCTGCGCGCGCCCATATTGACACGCTAGTATGAGGGTCTACATGATGCTGAGTCGCTCCCTTCTGTGCCCGCAACGTATGCCCGCTGTTATTCAGCGTCATTTCATCCCTTCATAAACCTATTCTTTGACTCTTCTTTCGCTTGGACACTACACCAACATAGATCCTCGCAGTCACCGCAGTGTAGAACAGACAGCTGTACAAGTAGAGTGTTATGCCAACATGTTCACCGCCTCCCTCCGGAATACTTACATCCTCGAGCGCATCTCCACCCTGTCGTCCGTTCGGACGTATGTCTTCAATATGTCTTATAGAACCGCCCACTGGCGACGTTACGCAGATTTCCCATTTCATGGCCCTCTTCCAGTCGCGCTGTGGCCTCTCTGCTGAGTCCGGCGCAGTATTGGGATCGCTTCGGAGGTTCGCACATCGGAATGCGGGAATATTGCTCTGCTAAAGGTGACATAAGCTTTGCGGTTGGATCTTGCTGGTTCACAAAATTCGCACAAACAGATGACATCGTAGAGTGCCCTCATCCACAACCAAGCGACCGACCTGTCCCTACCAACGAGATCGCTAATCAAGCTACCGCAACTCGCCCCCGACGTGGACCGGTCTAACAAAAGGTACTTACTGATTTGCGCATGCGCAGGTGGAGCTGTGGGAAGCGCAAGATCGAAACGGTCCAGTTCACCCGTGACCCGCCGCGCTTGCCTGCGCCTCTTGCTACGAACGATCATGATCTCCTCACTTCCTGCAGTGTCTCTGCCCGAACTTCTGAGTCGAATGCCCTTGAACATCTGATGACGCGGGTCACTCCGAATCTGTCGCCTTTTCCTCGAGGCGGATGTGTGTAGAGCTGCCAATCGATAACGCCGCCCGCACGCATGCGAGTGTCCCACGCCTGCGACTGTGATAGCATCGCCCTCCGTCATCCCCCATGCCTGAATTTCGCCCACCACGGCTTCCGCGCCACGCCTTGAAACACTCTCACCTCTTGTTTTGCACTTGCGCCTTACGATGGGCAACGCTGTCCGATAGTTCGTCTGCACTTGACCGCATTACGGAGGGCTTGTCCTCACGTCTCGATTTATCAATGTCTCGCCTGATAGTGGGTAATCCTGGCCGAGAAGCGTATCTCAATGCTCTTCTTGTGTCGCGGTAGCACGTCATATCCTTTGATGCACTTTTTGGATCCGCTACGACCAGTGCAACTGTCGTACATTCTTGTTATGGCACGGGGCGCGCGAGGTAGTGTGACCTCGGTTTATGGGCGCCCATCTCCTTTGGCTGTGCCTTCAACGGAACGTTGGTGGCCATTCTGTCGTTAGCAGAGCGCTCATGAGTACGTGCAGTTTCGATAGACTGTTCTGACGCCCGGAGGGAACATCTGAAATCTTCCAGGGGTGACCAGATTTGTGCGGCGCTGCTGCAGGCCGGGAGTCTCTTCACGTCAAACATTCCAAGAATGAGAGGTAAGGGTTGAGGACTGACTGATCCTGTGCATGTTCGACTACACAGGAAAACTAGCTGCTCACTGGCCGCGTCTCGGGATTACTACTTCAAGACCCTTTCCGTTCATCTTGTCGAGTGTCCGATAACCTTGTACCTCGTGCGGGCAAGTAGGCCAATAGGTCCATGCATACGCGAACCGCCTCCTCACAGCCCCGTTCGTGGGTTCTGGCTATATAAACTCGGTTGCGAGCGAATGGGGCACGGACAACCGTCCCGTCCCGTCCTCGCCTTCCCCAGCCGAGTCAACGGCAATGCCCTTGCGACTCAGAGAGCTCGTGGCGAACGCGCGCACTCGTCTCAGACCAGCAAAGGCTAAAGACCCACCACCGATATCTCGATTACATGGCGTCAATAGCCACCCACGCACCCTCGGCATCGTCGCCCGGTCTATCGACTTCGTGAAACCACGAGTCCGGCGCCTGAATCGCAAGGCCACACGTTCCATCGTCCACGAAGGCGCCATTCTGGGCCTGGAGACACTCAAAGAGTCTGCATCCGTCTTTCCGCCTTTGGAGAGTGCCCTTGGTGGCTTGCTCAAACTGGTTCATACATGCGAGGTAAAGCACACCACCCAAGCCCAGCGCGCCACTCATTGGAAACCTACAGTTGATGGTTCAGAATGCAAATGACTGCCAGGAACTCCACGAGCGTATCCGAAAGATCGAGCAGGACTTGCACAGCTGGGCGGCCCGGGCCCAAGACGCGCCCGCGCATTCCGGAGAGTTAGCTACCGCTTTACAGACATTTCACACGTTAGTGTCTCCTATGTGAAATGAACCTCGTTCTTGCTCATTGTTTCTATGTAGGTCGTTGGAGTATATCATGAGAGATGTCGAGACACTCCTGATTCAGCAGAGTAAACGCAAATGGTGGCGGTTTCTGCTGGCTCGCAAGCACAAGCTCCGCATCGACAATTTGCTGTCAAGACTTTCCATTGCGGATGAGGACTTCCAGGCATGTTTCCAACGAATTCTGCACTTATACATACCTTAATAAGAGATGCACAGCGATGTCTGGGAGTTCAATCCAGCCGTCAGATTGCTGTTATCCTGGACACAGTCATAGAAACTACGGAGGACATGCGAATTCTGCGTCTATCAGTCTTTCATTACAGCATGGTGGTCCGTACTAAACAGTGCTCAACTTTAGGAGTCGCATTGCTTACTCGCATGCCTTGGGACAGGCATCTAGTTTGATCGGGTTATTTGCCTAGGCCCCCCTGCATAGTCAGCCTCGGGAAAGTGTTTGATACACCCAACACCCGAGGTGCGAGTTGCGGCGTACTCTCCCACGTCTCGTCCTCATACCCCCGCATGGGCTGCTTGTCTTCCTGATGGGCCATTGATGATTTGTTACATGTGATGGTCGGCGCCCTCGTCTGAACCGTTTCACATCATCTCGCAGCTACATAAGGCCAGGAGACCCATGTTAGCTGATTGTTTGATCCCCCCCCCC